GTCGACGTCTTTAGTGGACTAGGTTTATTCCCAGGGACCTTATTTCTCTTGTGGCTACTTTTAAATGAAATGCTTCTTCGAGTTCAGTCTGTTCACTGTGGGTGTATAGAAATGCACAGATTTTTTCTATGTTGATCTTGTATCCTGCCACTTTACTGTATTCATTTGTTACTTTCAGGAGTATTTTTTTGGTTTTGTTTGTTTGTTTGTTTGTTTTTGGTTCAATATATGCTAAACTATTAATGTAATATATTATGTTAATAGAAGGAAAGTTAAAAACCATATGATCATGTCAGTTGGTGCCAAAAAGCATTTGATAAAATACAACATCCCTTCAAGATTACGGCTCTTACCAAAATTGGCATAGAAAGGACTTTTCCCACACGATAAGAGCCATATGTAAAAAACTCATAGCTAACATACTGAATGTGGAAAAAGCCAGAAGCTTATGCACTAAAAAGTGGAACAAGACAATGATGCCCACTTTCTCCACTCCTTTTAATATAGTACTGTAAGTCCTAGCCAATGTAGTCAGACAAGAAAATAAAATAAAAGATATTCCAATAGGGCAAGAAGAAGTAATTATCTCTTACTTGCAGATGACTTTTTTTTTAAATATTGTTGACATTAATATATTACAAACATGATTTTGCTAAGACGTGTTAACACATCAAATTGCTTGCCTTTTACAAAGGATTTTTTTCCATTTTAAAATTTTTTGATAGACAAATCAAGGTTATTACCATATACATCATTTTCAATAGATAATTTACATTCTTGAGTCTGTTAAGTATTTCTTTACTTTTCCACTCACCTTCTATCATCCACCCCCATTCCTTATAGACTCTAGTATCCACACTTACTCTCCCTGCTGTTGTATCTTCGAATATTTCAATTCTGCCTAGACTGCAGTTACTGGGTATATCCTGAGTGGGGATATATAGTTCTGGTTTACTTTGCTTAGTATTAATTTTCTACGTTCAACCTTTATGGGTGAATAATATTACATAGTATACAGGTGCCACAGGTTTTCAGTTGACTCATTAGTTCTTGGGGCACTTAGGTGATTCTATGTATTCACGATTGCAAATAATGGTACATTAGACATGGAAGTGCAAGTATCTTTCCAAGTGAATACTTTCCTATCCTTTGAGCAAATACCAAGGAATGGAATTACTGGGTCAGATGGTAATTCTATTTATAGCTTTTTGAAGATTAAAAAATATTGCCAGCGGCTGCGTGCTCCCCAGAAAGAAAGCAATGGAGAAAGCAGTCCTGGTGGGACACGCCTTCTGGATTCCTCCTTGTTGCTGGGATTTGGGCACACCTGATCATGTGTCTGGCATTTTCTTAAACTGCTAGTGGCTACGATTCCAATGGTAGCGGGATCCAGCTTTCTTCACTGGGAGGCTATGGGGCTGGCCACTTACAAAGACCTTAAGAATTCTGTGTGGGTGGCTCTCTGGTGTTTTTTTTTCTAGACAGTTATGTCTAGGATAGTTTCTGTTTAACATTTAAACTATAAATTGGGTGTTGGCAGTGTTTAGAAAAACTTTTTTAAAAAAATGTTTAGGTTTTCCCCTTAGGGTGTGTATGCTCCCCAGAGAGAAATGGAGAGAGGGAAAGTCAGAAAACAACCTCTGGGGGGATGGCCACTCTGCCATCCTTTTTCCTCCACTTTACTGTTTGTATGTTGGGCAAGCGTGCACGCGTGGTTTTCAAGCTGCCAGGTCTGGGGCTCAGGCTGCAGTTAGCCATGTGGGAATTAAGTACCTTAACCACCATGCCAACTGATGGCCCCAGTATTTTCTTTTTGGTTATTTATTGTTGCTTCACCGTTTGTCATCTTCACCATATTGCTAGAATCATTAAAGGTACATTATTTGCACATAGGGTTAACACAGGTTACTGAGATTGGGGCCAGCAGGTAGCATGGTGGTTGGAGCACTGGACTCTTTCGTGGCCAACCACCGCTAAAGTTTCAGACCTCCTGGCTTAAAAAAAACCCTCTCTTGTTTTTATTCTATAGCAAATTTAAAAATAGTAATAATAATAAATAAAATGATAAAATTCTTAAAATTTACTGAGCTTATATATTTGTTACTTGTACATATGCTATCACCTTAAAGAAGGCAGTAGAGGCATTTTATCAGATGCCGTTTTCTGGGTTCATATACTCGGAGAGAGAGCAAACACTCGCCCAGTGGAGTATGGTCACACCGGAGTTCTTTTTCTCCATTTCTCCTTCCTGTCACGTTTTATGCACATATGCATGTGTACCCGCATGTTTTTCAAGCCTTAGTGCAAGGGTTTGAATGGCTATTGAATTGCCACGTGGGATCTGGCCCCATCCACACAGGATTAACTGCTGTACTGCTGGGCTAGCCCAACAGCCATTTTTACTTGAAGTAAAAGGTTACTGTAGTCACTACATGATGTTCATTTTATGTCAAAATAGACTCTTTCAGGATCATGTAGGTATCTTTCATTTTGCTAGATGTGCTGAGGTTCATGTTGCAGTTCACTTTTAAAAAAAATAATTATTTTATTCAACTTCGTTTATTTTAATTTGACCAGAGAGGGACAGAGAGAGAGAGGGAAAGTGAGAAAGCAAGTTGCCAGGTCTGGGACTCAAACCATGGTCAGCCATGTGGGAGTCCAGTGCCATTAACCACTACACCACCTGCTGGCCCTACAGTTCACTTTTTTTAAACTGTAATATTTGCCATAGCGTTTGCACAGTTGTCAGAGAGAGACAGACAGACAGACAGAGGGAGAGAGAGACCTCACGCCCAGCGGGGACGGCTGCACCACAGCCCTGCTGCCCTCTCCTCTCAGCATTTTGGGCACACATGCGCTCACCTGCCAGCTTTTTGGGCTGCTGGATCAGGGCTAAAACTGCGCTGCCACTCAAGTGGGGCCCAGCTACTTCTGCCCACACCGCCTAATGGCCTGATGGAAAGAACACTAGAAGAGCATTGATAGAGTCTCTAATTGTACGGTTCTGTGCTCACTTGTTGCATGGCAGCGACCAAGACAACTTGTAAATAATGGGAAAATGAAATATTAGTTTTAAATATCTACTCTTTCCAGATATATCTGAGAGTCTCCAAGTATAATTTTGAAAATACCCTAGAAATGTGTTAGTACAATTATTTTGCAGTTCACATGATGATTAAAATCAATGGTTGATAAATAGACTCTCTGAGCTAGGAGCTATACGAAATGTTTCGTATTAATTTGGTTGTTAGAAGAAGACAATGTGACAACCATGCTTTTACCCTATTCTCATAGAAGAATAGTTTGCCATTGTTTCTAGTATAAATCACATAATGTCAAAACCGTATGTGAGCCTGTTCATGTAATATTTCATTTTCCTTATGCTGCTTTTTGTTGCTGTTAGTAGTCCAGATATAAATGACCTCCCTGAGGAAACTTTATGCTACCTCTTGGAACTATACAGAGTTCTGTATGTGTTCCTTTAGTTGCATGACAATGTTCAAGACAATGTTGTACATAATAGTCAGATACGAAATTTTAATTTTTAATTAACATCTAGTGTTTCTAGATGGAGAGAGTCTCGCAGAGTATAATTTTGTAAATAAGTCATTGCAAAATGTCATGATTTCATTTGTTTTGCAGCTATCTTGATAATGAAATGAAGAAAATTTGGCTTTTCTTGAACTATACATATCTTAGTTTCCCTTTAACTGCATTGTTTGGGGTAGGAAAAGGTTAATAGGATGTATATTTTCAGCTTTTAATTCTCACCTTCAAAAATTATACTTTAACTATTGGGTCCTGATTGTAATATACTTTAAAAAATCTGAATCCACTTTTGTAGTTATATTGCTGAAAGGGCATTATATAAGTAGATTTTGGTTATCATTGTAGAAAATGTCGTTTATAAGGAAAATTTTCTACCTCTTTGAATTATAGTGGTTTTTATTTACATGGATTGGATGATAAAATTCAAGACAACTTCACTTACACATAAATGTAACTTAAAAAAAACTTAGCTTTTCTAAATGCATGTAGTCTCAACAAAGTATAAATTTGTAAATACTTCATTGTAAAGTATCATAGCTGTCTCCTGTCAATGTTTTGGCAGCACAGCAGGTAACTGGTCTTCAGGACGAGGTGAGACCACGCATTAGTGGACTTGTGTGGGGCGAGTGGCAGATTGGTTCGTGTTTTCCACCTGACAGAGTCTCATGTAAGGAAAAGAATCATCAGACTTTGCATGCCTTCTATATTTACAGGAAGCAAGGACACTAGGGTATCTTTTTAGAAAGAAAGAGAGAGATGTGCGAAGGGAGCTGTTTAAATTAGGTCTCTGAGAGTTGGAAGTTCGCTACAATTGTTCTCTGCAGACTTGCGTGTGTGAGCCCCGACTCTGTACCTCCATGCACCTCTAAAATCAGCTGTACAGGCCTTGGCTCTTCGTTGTCTGCTTAGTGCATTTTATTTTACAAATTGCAGAACTGCTGATTTGTTTGCACACCTGTTGCTGTCTCTAGACTCCCACTTATTGTTCATCTAAGTGTACGGTAATTTTATATTAATAATCAGGTTCATAAACATTTTCTAATCTGTTTCCATGCTTAAACATGTATGTGAGAAGATTCAGTTTATTTTTTCTGATACCTTTTTAACTTTATTGTGATATAGATATACATTATAAAACATATGTTCTATGATCACCAGGTAAATGTCAAGTAGCTACCTCTTGTGTAAATTAGGACATTTTCTTATGAAGATTTTACCAACTATTGATCAAAGTATAAATCTATCTATATATCTTTTTAGATTTGACTATGACAGTCAAATTGAGAGTATGTAAAATTTTTGAAATGTTACAATTGGAATTTTTCAACAAACATCAAATATAGCTTGTTTACTGAGTTGTGTGCATAAACCTATAGGTTTTCTAACTGAAATGTTAACAGTCAATTATAGTAGTTCTAATTATGCATGAGAATGACATCCTGACAGTTAAACCATTCTTCTCAATGTTACAATACTGATTATTTTAACATTGTGTCTGAAGTTTTTGTGAATTAAAAGGTATAAGATTGTACATCTACACATATGTGTTTACAATGTGAAAAAGACGATAACGACATATATAATTATATTACTTGAGTAGAGAATTGACTGGAAGAACATGCAGAATTTAGCTGTCCAGGATACCGAGATGAAAATAGAATGACTGCATCTACTTTCTGCTTTTGAAATTTTAAAAAGGTATTTCAAAGTAAACATTAAAACTACAGATGCAATTTAAAGAGACAGTTGATTTGGCTCTCTTCGTCCCTGCTGATAAACATCGCGGGAGCATTTTGCTGCTGAATCCAACTTTGTATTCCAGTGGCCATTAGGAATGGTTTCCAAGTGCTCTCACAAAGAATATGTGGTTTAAACCCAGAGCAGAAGACTCTCACACGGGAAGAGTATTTGATTACCCTAGGCATGGGGGAACAAGGTGGAATTTGAGGTAGGTACCAAGCAGTTACATTTTGCTTGATAAAATAGGTCTAAAGGATATTTTCATGGCGGCAATGCCACATATGGGCAGTGGAAAAGCCAAGCTATTTCCGGAGTTGCCTGTTGGGATAAGCTAGATGTTTTCCTGAATCCTTTTGAGTTTAAGTGGAGGACAGACTCTCCTTCCTTTTACAGTGGTTGGGCCTGGGTATAGGAGTTCACGTAGGTGTTTGGGGCTTTATAGACCATTCAGAATGAGCAGGAAAAATATTTCAGTAATCCTCAGCATTTGTGCTAAAAGATTTGCTTTTTTCCCCTTTTCTTCTACTTTTTAAAAAAAATACATTTGAGCACTACACATCACTTAGCTTGTAAACAAAATTTACCCAACATGAAATAACACAAATAGAAGATGTGATTTTAAAGTAGTAAGAACTTATGAAAAGATTTTGTTTATGGGTCATCGTATTTGCTGGTCAAGTTAATTTTCTCCGTCCCCTCTGCCTGACGAGCCTGTTACTCTGACTCAATGTTCTGGAGCTTGATCTGCATCTGACAACTGCTGTGTTGGATATATTTCTCAGGTGGTCATGATGAGAGAGAGACATGTTTGCAACTCTCCTGAGTACAGCTGAAATCAGGAACATCTCCCCCTCTTCACTGCAAGCCGTGGTAAGGTGTCAGTGCTGTCGGGGACTTTCCCTAATTTCAGGAAAACAGTATCAGTGCAGTCAGGGTTCTTCCCAGGCCAACGAGGAGTGAATCATTGCTTTCAAAGCGATTTTACCACAGTGAAGATCTAGTGTAATGCAGAATGTGTCCTTTACCTAATTTGTGTATTTATGTCTAAACATCACACTATAACTAATAAATAAAAGAAAACCCCAAATATCTAACTATTGGAAATTATGAAATTAACAATCTGGGTGTTTTCACAAATTCAGTTTTGTGATGCAGTAAAGGGAAGAAATTCATGGGAAGCACACACACAAAAAGGTGCTGATACCGGAAAATAGTAAGGTAGGCTGTGGTTTTAAGTTGGAGAAGCTACAGGCACAGCTCGAGACTGGAGGCGCTGCAGGTTGGGTGGGGCTCCTGTTATTGTAGCTGAGGGCCCTGGAGCAGCGGCTGAAATAATCATGGCTCCATGGGCCCTGGGCCAGGTTTCCTGAGAGTGCCCAGGAGAGCTGAGAAGTCCTACGACCTCCAAAGTTTTACTATACTCTTTTAAAAATTATTATTAAAAAGAGATTTTTGCTATAGGGCATGTGTGCTTACCAGAAAAACAGAGAGACAGAAAGTGAGAAATCACCACCCAGGGGGATGGCTATGCTGCAATCCCTTCTCCATTCTCCTCTTGGGATCTTGGGCATGTACACACACATGCCCAGTGTTAGTTTCAAGCTGCCAGGTCCGGGACTTGAACTGCAGTTGACTACTTGGGAGTCCAGCAACGTAGCTATTTGCCACCTGCTGGCCCCTTTATTGTAATCTGTATTTTTAGTGCAGTTTTTATCCCTCATTGTGTTTTATGAGCTCTTTTTGTTATTTTCACTGGAATGTTTTGATGTTATATTTCTGAGTCAGTGGTCTAGAAATGTGAGCAAACAATACATAGATTCCATGAAGAAAATATTGGAGAAATCAATTAAGAGTAGATGAAAAATGGCAAATATCTTTATTGTTAGAATATTCCACAAGGAATATGTATCCACTCACCTTGTCTGCGTAATAGAATATATGCCGTGTTCACCTCACAAAGAGAATATATTAGCCCTTAGCTATAACAGTGTGCACTCTAACCTTTTCTCATTTCCCAATTTTGTCTACTCAGTTTTGACTGAGAGGAGCATGTACTGCTGCTTCTACCCCCAGATTCGTAAAAACCAAAATGCTGTCTTCATAAGGCATGGAGAGTCCACCTGCATTTGTGGCAGTGTTCTTTCCTTACTGATCAGCAAAGCTGCTAGCAAAGCATATATTTGGAAAGTGATAGCAAAAAAATATAATTGAAGAAAATTTTAACTACACACAATTTCGTTGTTGCTGCTGCACGGAATCTCTGGAGCTGGCAAGGTTGAGCTGCAGTGCTTACCAGAAAAACAGAGAGACAGAAAGTGAGAAATCACCACCCAGGGGGATGGCTATGCTGCAATCCCTTCTCCATTCTCCTCTTGGGATCTTGGGCATGTACACACACATGCCCAGTGTTAGTTTCAAGCTGCCAGGTCCGGGACTTGAACTGCAGTTGACTACTTGGGAGTCCAGCAACGTAGCTATTTGCCACCTGCTGGCCCCTTTATTGTAATCTGTATTTTTAGTGCAGTTTTTATCCCTCATTGTGTTTTATGAGCTCTTTTTGTTATTTTCACTGGAATGTTTTGATGTTATATTTCTGAGTCAGTGGTCTAGAAATGTGAGCAAACAATACATAGATTCCATGAAGAAAATATTGGAGAAATCAATTAAGAGTAGATGAAAAATGGCAAATATCTTTATTGTTAGAATATTCCACAAGGAATATGTATCCACTCACCTTGTCTGCGTAATAGAATATATGCCGTGTTCACCTCACAAAGAGAATATATTAGCCCTTAGCTATAACAGTGTGCACTCTAACCTTTTCTCATTTCCCAATTTTGTCTACTCAGTTTTGACTGAGAGGAGCATGTACTGCTGCTTCTACCCCCAGATTCGTAAAAACCAAAATGCTGTCTTCATAAGGCATGGAGAGTCCACCTGCATTTGTGGCAGTGTTCTTTCCTTACTGATCAGCAAAGCTGCTAGCAAAGCATATATTTGGAAAGTGATAGCAAAAAAATATAATTGAAGAAAATTTTAACTACACACAATTTCGTTGTTGCTGCTGCACGGAATCTCTGGAGCTGGCAAGGTTGAGCTGCAGTTGCACAGAACGCTCAGCACATGGAGATAGGACTGCGTCCCAGCGCTTCCAGAAGTACAAGGTACATATACTTATGGGTTTTACTTACACCGTGTATATTTAATAGGGATCCTTAACAAATTACTTTACTCAAGGATTCAAAGGTCATAGAATTTTGACTTGTGCCTTTAAAAAAAAATTCTCCCCAATGTTGCTTACTGTTAATAAAGTCTTGTATACATCCTAGTTTTTCTTTCTTTTTTTTTTTTTTATTAAAACATTGAACAAAAGTACTTGGAGGTGTGATATACGAGTTTGATTCTCTTTCTTTCTAAAAGAAATTTTTTGGGGGGTAGGTTTTTGCTAAGGCACATGTGTTTGCCAGAAGACAGAGAGAGACAGAGACAGAAAGTGAGAAATCACCCCTCCAGGGGGGATGGCCACGCCACAATCCCTTCTCCTCCATTCTCCTCTCGGGATCCTGGGCACGCATGCACACGTGCCCGGCATGAGTTTAAGCCACCAGGTCCAGGACTCTAACTGCAGTCGACTACATGGGAATCCAGTGACGTAGCCATTACGCCATCTACTGGTTCCACTAGTTAGGTTTTCTATGTAGCAAAGATATGTAAATTAGAATTTGTCTACCCACTTTATTGGAACAAGTGCCTTGAACTGTATCTGCCATGGTGAGAGTGTACTAAAAATCTACATCTTTAGTAAATTTTCCCCTAAATGGAGTAAGTTCTCTCAGGGTTTGAGAGTTCTCCCACTTACTAAAATGAAAAGAATTAGACTTATATGTTTTTAATCATGAACAACGTAATATTGCAAAGAAATAACTTTTTACTTCTGTTAAGGTTGTACTAGGTCACCTTCACATATAATCTTACAAGTCATTGATGGGATTTCATTTTCTCTGTTCCTTTTTGTCCGACTTTCCTTGTAATGTTAGTCCATGTTACTGACTTCTTAGAGCTCATTTTATTTACGGATGTTAATGTATGTGTCATGGATTACAAATTAAATATTTTTTTCCATTTATTTTACTGTGGTTTATTTTTTGTTATATAGAAGCTCTGTATTGAAATATAATCGTGTTTCTGACAGTTTGCTTTACCTTCTATTGAAACTTGAAGTCCTTACGATTTATACTGTCTTATCTATTCTATTGAGTTCTCTTGTTCTTCTTCTTTTCCAGAATACTGTCTGTACTCGCATTTCCTGTCTGAATTGATGCTAAAATTTTTTTTCAAGTTGGAAAAATAATACAGTTTTAATTTCATTTGCAGCAAGCTTAATAGATTAATTAGGAGAGCATAAATCTTTTAAAAATTGAGTCTTCTTTCTCAACTGTAAGGTATGTTTATAAATTTTTCTGTTGGGATACTACTGGTATTGTTTTATTTTTATTGCTAACCATTTCATAGTTTTATTAATTTAGTGGTTGGAATTATTCACTCTTCTTATTTTCATATTGGTACATGGAAACCACTTCTGTATACCATTTCTAAAAGCATTTTTTTCTTTTTATATTTAGTTTTAAAAATTTGACCAGAGAAGGACAGAGAGAGAGAAAGTAAGAAAGCAAGCCACCAGGTCCTAAACTTAAATTGCAATTTTTAATGCTTTTATGTCCTCCAGTCTTTCAGTCTCTACCATAGAGTGCAGACAGTCGGTATATGTTAAGTGGAGACATACAATGTCTCTCTTTCATAGCCTGACTTGCTTCACTCAGCAATAAATCTTCCATATTAGTCCATTTTCTATCAAATTCCAGGGCCTTGTTGTTTTTTAGGGCTGAATATTATTTCATGGAGTATATGTGCCATAACTTTTCAGTCCATTCATCTGTTTGAGGACATTTGGGTTGGTCCCATTTATAAAATTACATTTTTCACATTTGATCGTAATTTTATTACCTTTTTTCAGCTTAATTTTTTTTTTTACATTCAATTACTACGTATCAGTACAGCATTACCAAATGAGTTGTCGCATCATGAATACACTCTATGTTGGTCCAAAGATATTGTCATACACATTATCGTTATCATCAGGATTTTCCACTTTTATGTCCCTTCCATGTTTTGCTTCTGCCTTTCCCCCTTGATCCCCTCCTTCCCCCTCCCCCTCCCCCCCACGCCATCCCTAGTGAGCCCAGCTGCCCTCCATGCCTTTATGCCATCTCTTCTTCCAGTCCCTGCACTGAGTGGGGACATACATTGCCTCTCTTTACCTGTGTGTACTGTATGGGTAAGGACTTCTACAACATAAATATTGGCATAATTTCTTTAATTTTATTTCTTTTTTACATTCAGTCAAATATGTCACTTAGCTTGTAAAATGAATGTTCATACATGAATACATTTCTCACCATTCTAGTTGGGGATACTATGCATGTTATCATCAACAGATAACAACCCATTTCTTTGTCCCATAAATGTCTTCCCTCTCTATTTTTCTCCTTAATGTCTTTCCTTGGACTCTCCTCCTTCTCCTACCCCCTCCCCACTGTGTATCTGGTATCTGTAACCATTTTCTATGTTTCTATATCTTCTAGTCATTCAGTTTCAGTCATAGCGTGCAGACAGTCAGTATATATTAAGTGGAGACATTCAATGTCTCTCCTTCATAGCCTGATTTTCATCACTCAGCAGTAAATCTTCCATATTCATCCACTTTCTGTCAAAAGCTAGGGTCTTGCTGGTTTTTTTTATGACTGAGTAGTATTCCACAGAATATATGTGCCAGACTTTTTCAATCCATTCTTCTGTTCATGGACATTTGGGTTGGTTCCATGTTTTAGTCATTGTGAACAGTGCCACAATAACCATAGAAGTCCAAGCACTTTTCCGACTAAGTGTTCTCCTGTCTTTTGGGTAGATACCCAGGAGTGGGATTGCTGGATCATGTGATAGTCCTACTTGTAGATCTTTGGGGAATTTCCATAGTGTTCTCTACAGTGGCTGGACCAATTTATATTCCCACCAGCAGTACAGGAGAGTTTCCCTTTCACCAAATCCCCACCAGCACTTATCATTGTTTTTTTTAATCTTAGTCATTCTGAGTGGGGTTAAGTGGTAACTCATTTTGGTTTTGATCTGCATCTCCCTTATGATGAGGGATATTAAGCGTTTTTTCATAGACCTTTTGGCTGTTTGTATGTCTTCCTTAGAGAATTGTTTTGTTTTTTACTTCATTCTCCCATCTTTTAATTGAGTTGATAATCTTTTTTTGAGTAAGCTGCTTGAGTTCCCTGTGTATTTGTTATCAGTCCCTTATCTGAAACATAATTTACAAAAACTATTTTTCCCATTCCGAGGGCTGTCAGTTCACACTAATTACTATGATTTTTTGCCATGCAGAAACTTCTTAATCTGTCATATCCCACTTCTCTATTTTTTTGATTATCGACTGTGGTTAGTGAGTCTTTAAGATATCTTTGCATACCCCAGTGTCTCCAAGAGTTTCCCCAGTGTTTTCTAGCAGAAGTTTTTATAGTTTGAGGTCTCAGGTTTAGCTCTTTGATCCACTTTGAGTTGATTTTTGTCAATGGTGAGAGGTAGGGGTTTAGATTTCTCTTTCTGAAGGTGGATATTCCATTTTTCCAGCACCATTTGCTAAAGAGGTTTGCCTTTCCCGCTGGATTGACTAGTACCCTTGGTCAAAATTCCATTGGCTGTATGTTTAGGATTTTATTTCTATTCTGTTCCATTGGCCCACCTGTCTGTTTTGTGCCAATACCATGCTGTTTTGATTACTGTAGCTTTATAGCATATTGCCGCCCACTCCTCTCTTCTTGCACATGATTGCTTTGGCAATACAAGGCCTTTCACAATTCCAGACGAATTCTATGCTTGTCTTTCTAGATCTGTGAAGAATGTCTTTGGTTCTTTGATTGAAATTGCGTTAAATTTATAGATTAATTTGGGTAGAATTGTCATTTTGAGTATATTAATTTTTCCAATCTAGGAACATAAGATGTCCTTACACTTTTTTTGTGTCATTTTCAATTTCTTTTTTAGCTTCTCATAATTTTCCTTGTGGAGGTATTTAAAATTTTATATTTGAAATATTAGCTTGTAATAGTGTTGAAATAATAGTACCAAGTTATTTTTGTATTGTTAAGTTATCTTCCTTTATTACATCTACTTAATTATATAAATCAGAAAAGTATTGTATTGGTGTTAACTGATCCACATACCTTATTCCTACTTGCTGTGTTAGTGTCCATGATCTAAGGTTGGATCCCACTTAGCAGAGTTGTCATATACCTTCTGGTGGGAACATTTACTGGTCTTTGGTTTTCATCATCTTTATTCTTTCGAAGAGTCAGTAGAATATTTTACCATTAATGTCCCTCTGTGTATATGTGTTATGTTTTCCATTGAGATTGAGGTTATGCATTTCAGGCAAGAACTCTAAAAATAAGTGATTTTTCAGTTTTCTCAGTTCATCACTGGGGACATACAATGTTGTTCTTGTTACTAGTCATTTTTTAAAAGAATGATTTAATTTTATTTATTCATTCATTTATTTTTAATTTGACCAGGAGTGGGGAGGGAAGTGAGAAAGCAAGCCACCAGATCCAGGACTCAAGCCGTGGTTGGCCAAGTGGGAGTCTTCAGTGCCTTAACTGCCATGCCACCTGCTAGTCCTGTTACTAGTCATTTGACTTTGATTGCTTTTTGTTATCATTAATATAATTAGTTTGGGGAGAAGTTACTACAAATATTGATTGTCATCATAGCTTGATCTAGTAATTTTAGTATAATTCATTGATGTTCTTGTCTAAAATATAATTACTTTGTTTGCCAGATTACAATTATTAAAAATTTCCATTAGTCTTGGGACCAGCAGTTAGCATAATGGCTATGTCACTGGACTCCCACGTAGTCGACTGCGGTTTGAGTCCTGGACCTGGTGGCTTAAACTCAGGCTGGGCGCGTGTGCGTGCGTGCCCAAGATCCCGAGAGGAGAATGGAGGAGAAGGGATTGCAGTGTGGCCATCCCCCCCGGGGGGTGATTTCTCACTTTCTGTCTCTCTCTCTTTGTCTCTCTGGTGAGCTCATGCGCCCTATAACAAAAACAAACAAACAAAAACTCTCAAAAAAATTTCCATTAGTCTTTTATTAGTCAGAGTTTACATTTTGTAGTGGGATGGGTTTTTTGTTTGTTCTGTTTAAATCTGTGGTGGATATGTTTCAAGACCACCAAGTGGCTGTGCAGAACCATGGCTATAGCAAATTTTGATCTATTTCTTTTTCAGTGTAATTTGGATGGATACTAAGTGAGTTAATAGGCAAGACAAAAAAGAGATGCTGGGCAAAAGGATCCTCACATCACAGTAGGCCAGGTCAGGAGATTTCACCCCTCTACCCAGAATACTGCGTGTTCAAACTCACTACATACTCAGTATGTCTCCATGCCGCAGTTGGCCATGGTGGACTGCAGATCAACCTCATACCAGGCCAGACTGTTGACAAGGGGACTGCCTCGTTCGGGGCCGGCGTTTCTCGTCCTCCTCTTACTTCTTCAGTTCTTCGTATCAGTGTTGGCTGCTGGTGCTTATTTGCTCTGACTCATGGGCTAAATCCGTTTGCCCCACGTGTGATCATTCAGGGCTCCCCTCTTCGGCTGGCCCACTGGTTTCTGAGCACTTCTCTTGGGTGCACAGTGGTGTTATCCAGTGTTATCTGTGTCTTATGTGCCCCAGTTGTGTAACCAGCCATTTCTCTTGGATCCGTGGTTTCTTGCAGAATTTGGTGTTTAGAGAAAAAAGATATGGCTTCCAGGAGTGTTTATTTCTGTTGCTTAATCAGTGATTATAAATGACCACAGAAATATTGAAGAAATGTATGTTTGTGTCTTCCCATTGTCTCCCTCTTATTTTTTTTTGTTGGATAAAATCACACATAAAATATAATAACTTAACCATTTTAAAGAATAAAGTTGAGTAGGATTAAGCACACTCATCCTGGCCCTTGTCTGCTCTCCGTGGCTGTGACAGTGCCTGAGGCTGCGCAGTTCATAAACAGTCTACAGGGCTCCTGGTTCCCAGTGTTGAGACTGCCAAGGGGATGGTGCTGGTGTCTGGTGAGGACTCTTCACGAGGTGTCCTCCAGGGGCAGAATTTGGAAGTCTCACTTACATATACAGTGACAGACTGATGAGAGACCCACTCCTGTGATGGCGGTATTAATCCATTTAGGAGTGCAGCTCCTACGTGACGTAATGACTTCTAGTTAGGCCCACCTTTGGCACTTGTATTGGGGACCAAGTTTCCATCACATTAACTTGAGGCCATATATTCAAACGTCATAGCAACGCCATTGTGCGTTCATTGGCGCTGTCTTTCCCTGAAAGAATTTTGTCTTTCAAAACTGAAACTCTACCCTGTAAGCCCTCCATTCTTCTACTTTATGATTTTGGAATCGTTGTATCTGTCTCTTTGTTACTGCCTTATTTATTTATTTATTTATTTATTTATTTTGGAGAGGTTTTTGCTATAGGGCGCGTGCGCTTGCCAGAAAGACAGAGGGAGACAGAGAGACAGAAAGCGAGAAATCACCCCCGGGAGGATGGCCACGCCGCAATCCCTTCTCCTCCATTCTCCTCTCGGGATCTTGGGCACGCACGCACACGCACCTGGCGTGAGTTTTAAGCCACTGGGTCCGGGACTTGAACCGCGGTTGACCACGTGGGAGTCTAGCGACATAGCCATTACACTAACTACTGGTCCCACTGCCTTATTTTTTAAATAATTATTTTATTTAACATTTTAAAAAATGTATTTAATTTGAACAGAGAGGGACAGAGTGAGAGGGGAGAGAGAGAGCAAGTGAGAAAGCAAGTTTTCAGGTTCTCTAGTGACAGAAGCAGAAGCACATCGAGTTTTAGTCTCAGTGTGTAGTTTAAGTTATTGCTAATATTGCCAGTGGAAGGGAAGGTCAGGAGACAGAAGCTTAGCAATATTCCAAATGCTGGGGTGTTATAAGCAGGTTGTTAGCATCCTTTCATCTGGTGAGTGAGTGAAAAATCTTCAAATATTCTGAAACATTTCTATTTCTGTTTTCTTACACAAGCATTTCTTCACAAGCAAGTACCCAAAGAGATCATTTTTGCAGGTAAGCACCTAGGGCCTATATTCTGATTTTTAAGGTGTTATTTTGGCTATTTCTATGATAGATGAGGTTTCTTGTCTCATTTATGGGACATTTCACCAAGCCTACCATGTTTCCTATGGATTTATGTTGCAGTTATAGTTCAAATAAAGTAATCCATAGTTCTCTTGTTTCTCATCAGCATTTAATGAGATCAGGAGCTGAAACAAGGTTTCTTGCCTTTAGTACCAGCAGAATGTACCCCGAAGATTCCAGGACAGCAGGGCAGATAGCTGTGTGGGTGTGGCCAGAATGGTTTTGATTCTTGAAGGATAACATGGTGCACACAGAGGATGACGTTAGTGTTTCCCTGTGCTGTGTCTTTTACTTTTTCTCAACCCCCTGAACTGATACATAAATCAGCACTAAGTAGCTACACAAGAAGTGACGGTTCAGAGGACTAGGCGATTGGATGACATGCAAGTGATTGGAAGGAAGAAGGTGCGCAGAGTGCCCCAGAAGGGCCGAGGAAGGAAGGCAGGCCACAGTCTCATATGGTAAGCTTGGTTTTGGAGCATGGGGTTATGTGGCATTGGGGTTGTGGGAGTTTTCCATGGAGTGTCAATAAATGTTTGACTTGAAGATGCTAGCCAACCATCATGAGGTGTGGCTATGTAAGACCCTGTGTTTAGTTCCGTTTAAAATACCTTTTTCTCTGCTCTCCCAGGTCGTTACCCTGTGGACCAGAGGGTATACAAAGCTTCTGCCATGTTTGCATCTGCAGCATCACCCAGATGTTGTCTTCATTCCTGCAAAAACCTGCTTCCTGGAGCACAGTGATCTTTGGGTCTTCTGGGGCACAACTTTTGTAAAAGTACATCCAGGACTAGAAGCAACCTGCTGTAGGGCAAGTAGTGGCCTGTAACACAGTTAAGTACTTCACTGTGTTGTCAGTATGTCTGCGCTTCTCTATCTTGGGGTATATTATTTCATTGTATGTTCTACTCCTTTCTGAGACTTTGCAAATGGAGTTGAGATTTGTGTGTGGTACATGTAATTTGTTGGACCCCAGGGGCACTTCTATCACACCCGTCATGCCTGTCATGCCTGGGGGTGGCTCCAGTGCCTCCTGTGGCTTCGGTCTCTACTGGGCATACTTTCCCACTCATCTGTACCACAGCCCGCTGTGTCTAGAAGCCGTAGGCAAGGTCGTCTTAAACATTTGTGTTATCTGAATTAGGCCTTTTGTGACTGCTCTTGTCCTTGAGCTTTGTGAGTCTCACTCTAGCAGGATCTGAGACTGAATGGACCTCACCTCCTCCTATTACCTAAACCTACGGTTTGGATGCCAGCACACTATGGCTGTGTAAGGGAGAGCCGGACCACGCACTGACATTCTGAGCCTCGATGATGCCATCCCTTAGGACATGTGAGCCAGTCATTTCCTCGGTAGGATCTGTGCTCTCTTCTATGGGGTGGGAGTGAAGACACTGAATGTACCAAAGAGATGCCTTTTCCCTGTGTCCACCTGATTCCCAGTGCGCTCAATATCAAATACTGCTTGTTTGAATTTTTTAACTTTCTGCTTCTGGAATTAAACTGCACCGTCCACCCGGAAACTACTAATGGCATTGCCTAAACTGTCTTAATACGTAGGCTTATACCCACCCATCCAGGTAGGGACCATGCAGCGGTGATGCCTCTTTAGACCAGTGTTAGCAATAAAAGCCCTTGCTCAAATTTGACAACAATATGATGAAAGTCCACTTATTTTTTACCAAAGGAAGACTTAATGGTTTTAAAAAATCTCATAACTATGTGTAGACATCAGTGTCTCCTTTTTCATTGCCAGCTATATATATTCTGAGGCAAAATTTGTTTCTTTTGCAATATCAAATTATTTTACATGCAGAGAAGTTGCTTCTGTACTTCCAAAGTTAAATTACTGTATCCTAAGCTATTTCTGACATTAACATTAGCCAAGTACAGAATGATGTCCTGCATGTAAGATCGATATTTTGGGGCCAGCAGGTGGCATGGTAGTTAAGGGCACTAGACTCCCATATAGCCGACCACAGTTCGAATCTTGGACCTGGCATCTTCCTTTCTCACTTTCTCTCACTCTCTCTGCCCCTTCCTCTGTGGTTAAATTAAACTGAAACAAACGAATGAATAAATAAAGTTTAAAAAAAAGATCACTATTCTATTCGCACCCCTTTGTTACATGGAGTGTAACACCCAGGTAATGAAGCATTCTGTAGTCTGTACCGGGCTCTGTTAACTTTTCTCTGGGAAGGACCAGCCTTTGCAGCCTGCATTGTGGGAACTAACCAACAGTGTGGAAACAGCCAGATCTGACTTATGAACAAGCAAGCGTGTCATGGTAAAGCTTACGTATAAAAGCAAACAGCACATGTCGGTCCGTATTTGAACCGTAGGCTGTGGTTTCCTGACCCATGGTCTATGCATATGTTCGTGTTTAATTTTTACATTTCCCAGTGTGTGCATGGTCACCAGAGCGTGAGGGAGGAAGCCAGCACCCTACAATTCCTCCTTCCCCATTTCTCCATCCTTCTGGATTTTGGCATGAACACACAGGTGTCTGATTTGTCTTTCAAGCCCCTGGGGTTGGAAATCGAACCCCAGTCAGCCATGTCGGATCCAGCTTCCTGAAGCAGTAGGCAACAGGGCCAACTCACAGCCTAACTTTATTGTCATTGCTCAAAGGGTGACTAGGTCATAGAAGTCAGAAGGGAGAGGAATCTCTCTGTAATTATTCTGAACAACTTATAATACAGACATGAAGTTAAATTTTAAAATGGGAGATATTTTTTGTGTTTTTCTCCTTAAAGCTCAGAGTTACTTTTTTTTTTCATCTTCTTTGATGCCTAATCTCCTTTCTACTAAGGATTGATATCTCATACATTTAAACACGGCCACCAAGAACTAATGTCATTTAATGACGCAAACCAACCTGTGGTCATTCATCTTCCATCTTTCATTTTCTGCTTCATAAAGGTGACAAGAGTGAACCATTTGTGATACAGTGGTCAGTAATTTTTGTAAGCTTATGTAAGTTTATGTGGAATGCATTTATAGCTTTTTGATTGTTATGGTAGATACGTTAATATTTTGTAACTTTCTGTTTTATTTAATATATTGTAGAATATTTTCAGTCAATAAATACAGCTCACTTAGAGGCTTTTTTATTAACAGAACATGTTATAATGAATTTATCAATTTGTCTTTTAGGAAATGTAGGTTAACTTCTTGTTTATTTACATATGTATTTTTGTTGCTACACACGATGTATATAGTTACATATCTGTTCTAGTGCACTTGCATTCCTAGCTCTGGAGGATAGACTTCTAGCGTGGGATTATTGGATCATCAGTTATGTGAACTTTTGTTTTAGTAGATGTTGTGAAATTACCCCTGCAATGTTTTCTGGGCCACTGAAGGGCATTAATGTAATAGCAGTGCTGGTTTTCATAGACACTTGTGTATGGTGGACATGACCAAGGCTTTAAATTTAGCCAATGTAGTAGGTGAAAAGGGTATTGTTAATTTAAGTCTAATTTAAAAGGTAATAACCTTAATTAAAAAGACCAAATAACAATGGATCACCTATGAAACAAAGTAATTATTCCATTCTTATTCCAATCCCAGGGAATATCCTGGTTGTCAGAGCTGGGAATTGCTAACCTTTTCTAAACTTAGCACTTCCGGGGGGTTCATAAACCCCCTAAGTGTACCTTATAACAGCATTTTTTGACTTATTTTTTAAATAATTTTACACCTAGAGAATCAAATAGGGAGACCTGCTGTAGTCTTCACCCAGATGGCCTTTCTCCACGTCGCTCTATCTGCTCTTCCCCCTCTCCATCCCCACTCTTTTTCTACATTGTGTTACTACGTTTTGAAATATTTAGAAGCTGCAGACATTTTGTCCTTTAACAGAAAATACTTTAACTTCTCAGAGCCTGGATGTTGTTTTATTAACATCGGTGAAAAAGTCAAAGTCAGTACTAGTACAAAAAGTGTCACTGTTGTAGTATAAGTTTTGTGGCTGTTGTACAGTGTCTGACAGTGCACAGTGCATGTCCACATTGTCCAGCCTAGGTACGATCTCTGCAGTAATTTGTCCCTTAGGCAGGGTCCAGAGAAAGGTTCTGTGTTGCATTCAGGTGTCATGTTTCTGTAGTTGTACTTAATCTGAAAGAATTTCTTTATCTTTCTTTGTCTTTTATGACATAAGCATTCTTAAAAAGTAATCGTTATGTTCTTAAGAACATTCCTCGAGTTTTTATCTTTTCTTTTTTTCTCTTTCTTTTTTTTTTTTTTTGGAGAGGTTTTTGCTATAGGGCGCGTGCGCTCGCCAGACAGACAGAGAGAGACAGAGAGACAGAAAGCAGGAAATCACCCCCCAGGGGGGATGGCCACGCCGCAATCCCTTCTCCTCCATTCTCCTCTCGGGATCTTGGGCACGCACGCACACGCACCCGGCGTGAGTTTAAGCCACCAGGTCCGGGACTCGAACCGCGGTCGACTACGTGGGAGTCCAGCGACATAGCCATTACGCTAACTGCTGGTCCCTTTTTTTCTCTTTCTTTTGGTGCAAATGAATCACGTTTTGAGTTGCGTTTCAAACGTGGAAGTGTGATGCAGGTTTCTGGGCAGCCCTTTAGTGTCTACCCAGCTGGGCTCCTCCTGAGGGAAACGGTTATGTACATTGTACACTTTGGGCGGGGTTAATTGAGCATTGATGTGTGTCTTCAAATCGCGTTAAGTGGCAAGTGATGTCACTGTCCCATACTGGTGATGTTAACTTTGATAACGGTTCAGTTGGTGTCCACTAGACTTGTGTACTTTACTGTCTGTCAGCAAACCCCTGCACTGTAGCTTTAGTATTCACAGGTCATTTCTCAGCCAAGTCAGTCTCAATTTGTTAAAAAAAAAAAAACCCCTTTATTAGTGCATCTAAATATTGAGTTTTCTAATATAAGAAAGTTTGTGTATCGTGGCTTGTCAGAAAAATCTTATCAGTAAAACCTTTAAGTTAATTTTATAGAATGAAAGAATGAGGTAGTGATCCATAAGAGAAGGCAGGGAGGGCATGGCCTGAAGAGTCGAGCGAGTTTATGTCTACTCGGGAAGTGCGATGTTAGTGGCATAGGCTTCCAGGATGAGTGATACATATGCATTTGCATGAAAAGCGGGTGGAAGAGGTGCCCTCAGGTTTCCTTTGTGAGCCTGGGAGGTGTGCTGGTGGCGTCTGGGCTCACACTCACTCCAGTCCTATGTTCTATGGGGACGATGAGTCCCTGGCACATCTCCTTGCTTTGGGCCAGTTCCTGTGTTGTAATGCTGTGGCAGACTGAGTGATTCCTCACACACAAGTCTGTTTGGTTGACATCTGGCAGAAGTCTCGTCTCACGGAAAGCAGAAGGAACACATACAGAGCAAGAGAACGTGGGGGCCCAACCCGTCTTTTTATCACTACTCCCTTCCACAGTAACCAGCCCACTCCCATAGTTACTGGATTAATCCATTTAAGAGTGTGTTGTTGTGTTTCTCTAATGGCAACAGAAACAGAGCTGTAGGACGTGTAGTTTTTATTGTCTGAGTGTGGGTATTTACCAGAGAGACAGAGAACTCCCATTGGACTTGGTTGTATGACAATACTTATTCCTCCAGTTAATTCTCCATCCCATCATGCCTTGGGGCACATATGCACATGGGCCTCATGTGTTTTTTCAAGTCCCTGGGGCTTGGATTTGGACTGTGACTGGTCACGTAGGATCTGA